CTTCTGTAAGTTTTCACACTTCATCATATACTTGTCAGAAATTTTAGATAGATATTATAGATTTCCAACAGTAATAGTGGTGGTGTATGTGCAAACAATATCGCTCTTTCAGGGATGCTACGCATCTGCACTCACGGAGGAAATTACCGGGATTTCCTAAAAAATGGAGCCATCTATCTTGTTAGATTGAGAGCTTTATCGTCTACGTCGTCCTCTTTAGTAACATGTAGCTCCGTTAATGATAAAGTAAGTTTGATTACTCCTCAACCTCTGCTTTTTCTCTCGAAAAATCTTTCTCCTCTAGATAAAAAATGCGTTATCACAAAAAGAAGTGGCTCGATTACTACAAAAAGATGTTAGTTTTGATCAAAAATTTATGGAACGAGTTAGAGAAACCGTTGCTTGGTTTGCGACCCCAAAAGGATTCAAGAAGTTCTTTGATTCTGATGATAGCAAGACTGATAAAAAGGAGGAGAAGGAAAAGTCTCCTTCAGATGATAAATCGAAGTCATCAGGTGTGCCTTTTTAAAAAAGAAATTTGTTGAAATGATTACTCGCTTTTTATCTTCCCTTTTTAGATAAAAAGAGCAAAGGTAGCAAAGGCAGTCCTGGTGGTCCTCTCGACCAGTTGTAAGTTGCTCAGGATTTCCATATTATAATCTCTGCTAACAGATTTACAACTCTCAATTTAGTCCTGGTACTTGGCAACAAATAGCATTTACTGTCGGTCTTATATTCGCTCTTTATCTATTTATGGATTACCAGTCATATAGGGAGATTTCCTGGAAAGAATTCTTTCACGAATTCCTTGAACCCGGCATTGTAAGTTCAACCGTGTATTTTTTAGTTTACTGTGCAAATTATTTTTTGCATCACTTGGAGTAACCCATTCCTTGTAGTATTTTACCTCTTAGGTTGATCGACTAGAAGTTGTTGACAAAAGATGGGTTCGCATTGTTTCCTCCGCAAAAAATACTGGGGTAAGGCATTTTGGTATAAAGTAGCTCTATCATTCCAACTTTCAATTTAATTTTTCATCTGTATTTATTCTAGCAAACTTGTTACTTCAATATCGGAAGTGTAGATAGCTTCGAACGTAGCTTAGCTGCTGCACAAATGCATCTTGGTTACGACG